TCATGGGTGTAAATAATTTTATGTAACATATAGTTTTTTCGAAGTTATGGTTTAGGTACATTTTGTTTTTGTATACGTTTTGAGCCGTTTTGTTTATTTCTATGTACTAAAAGTACTGAGTACTAAAATTAAAAAAATACCAATCGAATTGAGAACTTCCTCCTTTTTGAAGTCGGTTAAAAATAAAGTAACAGTAGAATTGCAGATATTTTTGCCATCCCTGTATTCTTTTGGAATCGTGGATGTAGTTTTATACAAATCAACAAACTCTGTTTCACCCACAACGTAACCTCATTCGGTGACGATGAAAACAAATCATTCTATATTTTCTGCATTGCAGCGAAAAAAACCTTTTTGAAGAACATCTTGATTATTGACAACAAAATTAATTTATTGATAAAACGTTTGTGATTTTCTTTAATAAAACGTTTGTGATTTTCTTTAATAGAAGTTAAAAGAGGTTCTAAGTCTAGATGACCTAAATAAGACAGATAGAAAAATCGTTTTGCGAAAAGTGGACAATGAATGTCTTAGATCAATTAATAGGTCGTAGTCGGGTATTACACTAATTAATTATATTGTGCACGGCAATCAATGATTCAACTTTGAATTAAGTAAATTCTCTTGAAACAATTCTCATGATTATTAGATTAATTCAGATATCCTTGAAAGGGTTATGAGTTTGTAAGAAGTCGTGAGTTTCTTAAAAACCTACAAAGTTTATGGGCCATCTATAAATTTATATGTATCAATAAATAATGTATCACCGAAATCCAATAAAATTTTATGTATCCTACGCACATTGTAGGTCGCCATAGAGAACCATTGCTATCTTGTCTAACCTAGAGATGTATAAAATTGATCACCTATATTATTAGAAGTATGTGATCTTTATGAAAAAAGGAAACGGAATTACTTCACTTCACAAAGAGAATTGTTCACTTTTTTGGATGTTTTACCCTCAGTATTGCAACCACGTGAGCGTTTAAATAAATATTTCAGACAGACAGACATCTGACACACAACGCCATCTAGTCTCAAACTAAGCAGAGCTTGTACTATGAAAACTAGATTGACAGATAGAATACTTATATACTTTTTGTTTTGTAAATCCATACATATTATACGTAGGAAACACCCAAACTTCGAAACAAATATTTGCAGATCATACAAACATTTGGTCCGACCCGGGAATCGAACCCGAGACCGCAGCACAGCAGTTGCATATGCTACCACTGCACCACCGATGCAGTTTGGCATCTTATCACACGATAACGAATCGAAATGTAAATACTAAATTAGATTACTTAGTAATACAAATTGAAATCAAAGTCAGAACTAAAAAAAATAGAAGAAAAGAAGTAATAACCACTCTAGATAGTTCAATATTTAACTGGCCATGTAGTTACATGAAAATATTGTGCATTTAAAATATTGTTAACTGCTTGCTAAGTTGACTAGAACTGAAATCATGGATAAAGGGCATTCTGAACTCTGAACAATTTGCAAATTATTACTGCTTTATTAGTCTACTATTTTTTGTTGTACTCGTATTTGCTTTTGTTTACTTCATTTTCAAGTGTTTCTAATTTACAATGTTTTCTAGTTTTGATCTTGACAAACATGACTAGATACCTGATTACATTTTTTGCGTGAAGTTTGAGAATGAAAATGTATTTGCTGTTTAGGAAATGACTAAGAAGTTCAGGATGTAAATGTAATTAAATTTATTTATAGATCCTTACAAACGCCATATGGTTTCAATAAAAATATATGTAAATTATTACCAAAGTAATCGTTCTAGTTTCGTTCTTATAGTAATCATTTTAATTACATATTAGTACAACATTGCTTATAATTATCCTCAATGGCCGACAACGCGCTTGTGACTGCTGAGTCGCAGGCGTTCATTCGCAGGTGGTAATCACTTTCCATCAGGTGACCCATCTGCTCCTTTGCCATCTCTATTATAAAAAATTAAAAGTATAAAATTTTTAGCAGCTTCCGATTCACCCATATTCTAAAAATGATCTTTTATCATAAATTTAAAACAGCAAATAAAAATACTTATTTTTGTAGCTTTCTTTTAATCAAGCTCTTTTAAGCATAATAACTGTACAAAAATGGAAGTGAAGTAGTGACCCGTGGTGTTTCCACACAAAAAAAGTATGTACCATAGTACTAACAAATGCATACAACTTAATGCAGGATATCTTTACGGAGTGTATAGGGTCTTATTAGTTTCGGAATTTCTATATACTTGTGTTCATATAAAGTAAAGCATTTAAGATTATAAAACAAAACTGGTTGTAGATTTAATTGCGGTCAATACGTATAAATAGTAGGACTAAATAAGAAAAACAAATATCCCAGCAAACTTGAAATTCGGAGTTATTTCGAAGGCATGTTTTGGTGTTATCATTATTACTTCATTAAAAATTAATACGAGACGTTCTATCTCGACACAATGAGTACTGAGTGTAGCTTAATAATTACATACTACATGCAATAAACAACACACTAAATAAACTGTATGTAGATCAATTTGTTCGATAGTTGAAGCACGTAACAATGTGCCTATAATGTGCGTTTGCGGCTTCTTTAGGCGGGATCTATATTGTACCTGTAGGTATAGTCCTTCTAAAGCAAGAGTCTATTAAATATTGCTTTTAGATAGTTATAAATAAATTTATTTAGCAAAAATGTATATTTTCAGACACTTTAACTCGTTGATTAGTTCCATTAAACTAGATTATACCGACATTATCGAATAGCCTTCAGACTCCAAAATAAATACCAAAATTAATTTAGAATTAATTTTATTTATTTGCATATGTATATAGTTCTGATAGATTTTAAAACGACAAAATATGAGCCGATTGTCTTGTGTCAGCAAAAAATCACAACTAAATAATTTAACCTGTTTTACACTTCCGATTGAAAAAACTTATAATGCTTCTCCTTTTATGTACAGCAATTAACAATCTCTAGGAATATCTCAATTAATAGTATGAACGTGTTAGAGTTTGTCTAATTACTTGTCGATTAAGTTTTCAGTCCTGAGTCACTCAATTCATCATCATCATCAGCCTATCACAGTCCACTGCTGGACATAAGCCTCTCCCTTAGATCGATTTTGGCCTTCAATTACACTGACAATTAATTAATTATTATTAAATTTCCGGTACTCATTGTCAGTAGTTTAGAAAATAATGTAAGGTTACTTTTATATAGTACAAAGAACTTACCGAGGATACTTAAATTGATTAAAATTATCCAAATCTACATTTTAGGAAGAGTTTTTTATTATTCATATTTCCAAGCTCTGGAATAAAATGAAGTCGCGGTCGCGGCGATTCATAAAGAAGAATGTTTTTCTTCTTTATGGATCTATTTTCTAATTAATCTGACAACAAGTATCAAGTATCAATTTTTTAACCTCGCATATGCAAGCAGGTCTACATTTTATGGTTTTACAGTACAACATGCTTTGGTTAATTAGCAAGTGAAAAAATTCGCAGCCTTGCAAGAAATTTCATATCAATGGACTTAGTCTATTTAAAGAACCTTGATAATAAAAAATCCTTACCTACTTTACACTGTTTTTAACCGTAACTTAGGTAACGAGTATTTTAATAATATTGTAGTAGTATTAATTCTAAAGTATAGTTAAAGTTCTAAAGTACTAAAATATTATCCAGTGTTCTCTATCAACTATTTGGTAAGTATTTTTACCTTGTCACACATTATTATACGGATGCTGTAGATAACGAAAACGAAATCCATTAAAAGAGAGAGTCGCAGAAGAGGATTGTTTGATGAACGGAGGGTTCAATAGTGGTTGGAACACAGATATTGGAATGAAGATGTCAGGTAGGAGGGGGAAATGGGCGAGTTGAGAATAGAATAGAAGTTAGTGAGGACGCGCAGCGGACGGCGCTGACGAATAGTATGCCAGTTCAATTCACGACAAAAGGAGGAATCATGGTCATATTTGCGAAGGTTGAAGACGAATCGAATCCAGTTATTCAGAAGGAGAAGAAGTTATTGAGTAGATCTGCATTCAGGTCATAATAGCATCATCATCAGCCTATCGCAGTCCACTGCTGGACATAGGCCTCTGCCATTGAAATACCGATGGCATCAGAATATGATACTAACTTACTTCGAATATACTGTAGCTACAATTGTTTTAGTCCCGAAAATGGTATCTCACTCGTAACATCTATGGTGTTGTGATTATAAAGCATCGATTACTGATTACCGCTTAAAGAGAAGCAGGCAGAAATCTCCCATTCTCTCTCTCTTGTCGCAGCAGCGTCACCGGTGCGACAAGCTACGCACTCCGATCGCTAACCCGCCTACCCAGCGTGGCGATTATGGACAAATAGTCACCATGCAGACGCAACAAAGGTCATAATAGCATACATCACCGTAACCAAGATGGTATTAATAACGGCAAATAAAATAAACCATTCTATTTTTAAGATTATTAATGCACAATGACATTAAGTCCAATTTGCATATCGTTAATCAAAGTCAATTTAGAATTTCAGTACTTCGAATGAACATAAATACAGGCATATTACAGTCACAGAACTCCTTTTTTGATTTCGCTCCAGTAAGGCTAAATTGTTAGATCCATTATTATTGAGTGCTCGAGTCATTGCCGGTTTTCAATAATGGCTTAATTTTTGGTATCTAACCGCATATGTGGAACATGATATAAAAATATAGGGCAAAAGCTTATCATTTTCTTATCATCACTTGATGTTTTGTTAAATTCAACTTAATCTCCATACGCACAAGTCGTGTTATCATATATACATAGAAAAGAAGCGTAGCTAAATGATACTCGCGTATTATAGCGCAGGTATAACTGGCGCTGATGCAATATACGGTTGCTTATAAATACAGTGGTCTGTTTAGACCTGCATCAGTGTCAGTTCAACTCCTGTCGGCTACGAAGAGGACGAAAGTGACCTTATTTACAAGTGAAAATGCGTAACTTACAAGTAAGTGTAGTGGTTGTGTGTTTTAACAAAACATACTTTAGAATTCAAAAGCTTTATTTCAGAAATGAATTAATCTAATTAAAAATGAGAAGTAGAAATAAAATGAGAGGATAAGAAAAACATTTCCAAATGTATAAAATATTATATTATACATTCATAAATAGCACATCTGACGCAACCAAACCCTAAACCTCGGTCGAAAATAGAAAAAATCAAGCTAAAGCATGTCAATTTTCAATATAAATTGTCAAAGTTACTAATCCAAAGAAAATTGTTTGGCGAACGTCTTGGAAATTATTCTGAACCATTTGTTTTAGTTAATAATTTTCTAATTGTACGTAGAAAAAATAAAATTGTACCAAACAGATTTCTGCCAGCTTCCCTGTAAGGGGTAATCAGTAATCGATGTTTTATAACCACTACATCATAGATGTTATGTGTAAGATACTCTTTTTGGGACTAAAGCAATAGTAGCTACAGTATATCCTAAGTGAGTTAGTATCATATTCTGGTGCCATCGGTGTTTCGGACTAGATCAGTTATTCTGACTTTTTTTAAGTGTAGGAGCGTCTTACGATTTATCTTTTTCTAATAATGACGTCAAAAAAAAAATATTAACGAAGACCACTAAAAACCTAGCAGCAATCGCTGTTGATTTGCTGTCTTTTTTTTAAAAGTACTTTGTCTGTCTCCGAAACTCATCATAAGATCTATATGAAATTTAAATGGGACCATTTCGGAATAAACCACTTTCGAAAAAAAAAAAAAAAAAATTTCTGTTTTTCTATCCATCGTCTTATGTTTTTAAGATCTTAACGTTCCATTTTTAAGAAATAGTTGCCAAGTTGTTTTCGTAAATTAAAGATGAATAACTACTCCTGATAAATTATATTTCGTATCACGATTTTTAAATCATCAAATATATATTCGAGTGATATGGCTGGGTGATCTGTATTGAAGTCGTATAAACGATACGTAACACAATGGAAAACATCGTTATTACTGGAACAGAATACGTAACAAATTACGTGGGATCTAAATAGACTTTTCATAAACATATGTAATAATGATTTTATATGCTTCATATCAAGTCACCATGACAAGTAACGATTAAATTATCATGTAAATTCAATAGTGTAGTGTGGCTTTTTTAAGTACCCTTTAACCTTAAAAAATCTCTGAATGAAGATTTTCACCTTCAAAATTCTTTAATGTTCATTCGATAGGTGGAAATTTTACCGCACAAATGGAAATTAACGATTTACGTGACATAAAATAATGTTTGTTTTCGCTATCTTAAAAAATAAAATAATCGGAGTTGAGCCGTCATCTAACGGACTAATAGAACTAGAGTAATTGTTCATTTCTGTTAATTTATAAAATATGAATGAATATAATATGAACGTTTGCGTCTCGGCAAACGTAGTGTAGGACGCCCACAGACCAGGAGGAGTGTCCATCTATGCAAGATGTCTGGCAGGCGCTGAATACGAGAAACCGAAAATCGATCGAAGTGCCGTGCAACGGGAGAGGCCTATGTCCAGCAGTGGACTGCGATAGGCTGATGATGTGATGTGATGTGAATGAATATTTGTAAAATGAAACAGAGAAAATACTAGTTAGCGTCGGTTGAGATATTTGAATATTAATATGCGAAACGAATGAGATCTATGATTTAATAATAACAAATTTCTCATTTTTTTTTTCTTCTTAGCTACATTCGTAATTTCATTTTCATCTACGTAAAGAAAGTTAATGTATTCAATTTTTTTCCTTTAATCGTAGGGTTTCTACTACTGAACCTATATTAAATATTGTACTGTAGCCATAGAAAATTGTATTTCCTAAAAACCGATTGCGATTGCAATTAAAGGCAAAAACATTTTTTTTTAATATTTACATTTGCAGGCTAAAGAGGACGAAGCTACAGTTAATACTATGCCGCACTTGGAAACGTTCTCTATTTCACAGGGACTGTTTAAATAGACCTCATGGACATAAACAACACCTACTCACATTGTTCTATCATTAGAATACTGTAGGTCGTACAAAGATACATTGTTCTGACTAAGAATCAATATTGCATATTTCAGTAGTAATCGTGGTAGTCGTGGTCCCTGAAAAAAATGCCTATTTGATTTTATCTTCAAATTACATTTCATTCATGTTAACCATGCAAACATGGATCTTAATTCCCTTATTAGTTCTCGTGTACAATTGTGGTAATCTATAGCCTAGAACCTTTAAGTCCCTAGGTGGATTATCAACTCATTTCCGACTCTAAAGATAAGATGGTGCTCTTAAAAAGTGAAAGAAAAAAGTGGTAAGAAACCTCTATGACTGAAAGTCAGACACATTGTTGTAAAATTTATTTAATAATCAGATCATATCCCCATCGGAGAAGCAGGCGTGCTTGATGCCTGCATTATGTACATTTTACTTTATTGCTACTCAAAGAAAACGGCTAAACTCCGACTTATTGCCATTAGATTTGCTTTCTTTGGCAATTAAAGATAGTAAAATCGAGTGTACATTGTAATGTAGTTGGGAAGGGAAGGAAACTAATGAGGTTTACATTTACGTTTATGAATTAGGGAATGTAACCGTTCGAGAAGATCAGGATTACACACCTATTATTCTAATCAATGATAAGGAAATCATTGCGATAGCACTATGATACTTCTCAGAGAGTGGTGAGACATAGTGGTGAGATATCTAGTAGTATATACCTACAGTTGCAGATTAGAAGAGATTACGAATACAACATAAAGATATGTTGACCCACGAAACACTGACCTTATGTATCACAATCATAATTGATGCGAATTTTCCTTACATTCTATTGTACTGTCGGTCAATCCAATTGGTATTGTTAGTATAAAAATTAATACACATACATTATATGTATATATTTGTATTGTTGTAAACAAGGTTAGCAGGTTAAATTAGAATAACAAGTTGACCGCAGCTTTGCTTCGTAAATGTAACTGTGTCATCCCTCGCGAACAGTGTTTTTTTTTGGACGAAATGTATTGTGTACACGAAATTTCACGATAATCAAATGAATATAAAACTATAAAGAGCATTGCAGTTTAATACGATCATAATTACAGTGGTTTGTTTAGAGAAAGAAGTTGGTTTTTCTACAGCAAATTGAATTTGAATGAAATTAGAATTAAAATTGTGTGCTGAGTTATATACCTACCACAAGGAAATATTTTTTAGGTGAGATTAGAAATACAGGCTGTTTTACACAGAGCTTTTCTATCATTCTAAAAAGCGAAAAAACACAACTAGCTTTAGCCTGTCGCCTTCCATTACTATACAAAAACCTCTCCCAAAGAACGCTGACCATCCGGGTCTTGGCAATCCGCATACATCCGCTGCTTACCATTTTCCTCAAATCGTCGGTCTTTCTAGGACATATCGTGTCCAGCGCCCATCAGTCAGCCTGGAGACACGACCGGCCCACTTCCGCTTCACCGTACTAATTCTGAATGCGATGTCGGTTACTCCAGTTCTCTGTCGGATTGTGTCGTTTTGAATTTTGTCGACTAGAGAAACACCCAGCATCTCACGCTGAGTGATTTTAAACTTATGATTCCAACGGTGAATGTTCACATCCCAGTTCCGTATGTTGCACTGGTTAAATGCCTTGGTTTTGAGCGATTGTGCTATCTCCGACTCGGAGATATGACGAAGCTTCCCAGAGACATCCGCCCAGCCCAGACAAATTCTTCTTTCGGCCTCCCGTTCGAGTTAGATAGTTTTGCCAAGATAGACGTATTTCTGCACACGGCCACGGGGTTCGGGGATACATGCTCATTATATATGATCTTGGTCTTATCAATATTCATCCCAAGTCCTGCTCGTCTTAAAGAATCATTGAGATTGTTAAACATTTCATCCAGATCATGCAGAGATACCGCCAGGATCACTATGTCGTCTGCAAATCGCCAGTGCGAGACGTTATGGTCATTGATATTGATTCCCCGTTCGTTTCAATGGAGCGTCTTGAGGACCAATGCATTGGTAAAGAATTGCAGTGAAATAACGTCTAACACCGCGATGCAATTGAATTGGTCTTGTGATCTGTTCTTACTTGTACTTGGACGGTCATCGTTGCGGCTCCGTACAGACATCTAAGCAATTTATGTAATAACAACACAACACAAGTCAATAATCATTTAAGTAAATTATTGCAAATAATTTGATAAAGTTTTTTGACATTTCACAAATTGCAACGCTTTTTTTCTACGTTTATAGCCGAATGTAAAAAAAAAATGGATTATGAAATGTAAATGGATGATTGTTAGAGAATTCTTTAGGCATTAATATATCTATATAAATCTGCATGATGTGTTTAAAATAAAAAAAACTTAGATAGTTAAAAGTCAATTATTGAACCTCAAATTTTTACAACTTTAATATAGACAATGTGAGGAGAAAAACATATTAATTACAATCATAAATAGATCTTATAAAAAAGTAGAACTATTTTTATTGGTTCTTTATACATATGCAAAATTCTATTAGCTACTAAGGCACCCGTAATATTAAATCAAATTTTAATTTCATTTAATTTTAAAGGACTATTCGTAACATCCATCCATATATTTTTTGAATTTGAATTATATAGAAAATTTTAAACTGTAAAAGCCTATTTTTTATGTATCGCCAATGAAAAAACTATATACGTATGTGATTTTTGTACTTTAACTACAAAAACTCTGGATATGCGTGATTCTAGACTGATAACAGTATATTCCCCATTTCCACGGACCTCTTTAAAAATAACAACTATGACAAATAACATGCATTAATTTTGTACTTTCCAGGTATTTGCATTAGCCACATGGTGTGCTGTCGTGCAGGCGAGTTATATTTACGGCGGTTATAAGGGAAACCAGGCAGTGTTCTCAGAGTACAGCGGACATGGAGTAGGCTTATCAGGATACGGTGAACACGGAGTACCACTGTCAGTTAGCACAGCACACGGAGTAGGGCTGATAGGGCACACTGGACGTGGAGTAGACCTTTCGGGGACTGGAGGTTACGGGCACTACCAGGATCAGAGTGAATATAACCACGGTTATATTAAGGGCAGCGGTCATAACGTAAGTATTTATTAAAATCTCTAATTTATGAAGAGTAATCTAATTTTGAGATCGCGTATTAGTGAACTGAAGATAGGGTACGCCCCAGTCAGATTGACGACTAGAGAATGGAGCCTAAGATAGACCTAATGCCGAAGGCGTAGGACCCAGTGCTTTGGTACACATTGAAAGAAGCGTATGTAAAGGAGTGGAATATGTCTAAAAAATGTCTTAGAATTCAGAGATGATTGTGCTGACTATATTTCCAAATTATTTCTAAATTATTTTAAATGAAATATAGTTCCAGACGCTTGCAATACAAGGTGTGTTACTCACGTTTTAGTCAACATCAAAATTCTTGTATTCAGCTCATTGAAATGGATAAAGAAAATATGATTGCCATTTCCGTAAGAGATATTTTAAAAAAAGTATTTAACAAATGAAATGTAAACGATTCAATCCAATAAATATATGTTTTAGAAGGGTAGGAATGCTTCCTTAGTTTTAGACTTGTATTCAAACATAGTTAACCCTATTACAGTATCGCCATCACCAGGTCAGATGGGATCACAGCAACACCATTCACTGAGAGGTGTTTGAGTAACATTATCATATTGATATTGTTACATAATAACCTAAAAATAAATATTATAAGCTGACCCGTGGCTTCACCAGTTTTAAAATCTATATTCGATTGTAATTTTATACGAATCCTTTCAGCTACTCTTGTTAGGATTTAATTGTATCTTAAACAGTTTCATACAATTTTATATTTAAAATATTATAAAAGTTTAAATATTATTGAAATCTGGTAAATACAGTTTAGTAACTAGTTTAGAAATTTTCGCTAGACATTAAAAAAAAAAACTGTCAAGCTATTTATAACAAACCACTGTTTGCTTTGATGTCCGATAAAAACCAAATATCATATAGAGCATTCAAAATCGTGACGTTATTCCAAATTATTTTTTTAGAAATTCTAAACACTTATGCTCATTTAAAACTCACATAAGGTCTTCATTTCTTTGAAAATGTTAGAAGTAAGTACCGTAACGGTAACACACCATGACGTTGCCATACTTATAACGTTTGCGTCAGTGTCATTTGCATTGTGTGTCGTTTGATTCGAGGGTAGGAGGGAATTTATTACGTAGTTTGAGGCAGGAAAACGTAAATTGTAGCTACGAAATGATAGAAAGGCTGACGGCATAAAATGCTTGGAAGGCCAATAGATTGCTGGGTTTTGTCCGCTTATTTATTCGTCTTTCGATAATTTAGTCTTTTAGTAGTCCTGACGATTATGCTAGTTTAAAAATGATCGATCGAAGAGTTGGGTGTGAAATTATAATAAGAAACAAACCCAATTCGCAATTTATAACACGATTTCAAAAATAAATTTGTAAATAAAATGATGAGATGTGCGAGGTTATTATTACTTCTTTGAACTAAATTGTTGATGCAGCCAGAAACCACCTCCTAGCTGCATCAACAGATTAGTCGTATGTCTCGATTTTTAGTTTTTAGTAAAATTCCTTTCGAGTTTTGGACATTCATTTTGACAAATCAACATATATAATAGAAGTAAGAGGATTATGGAATTCTTTTCTGCTATTGGGTTTCATTCGCTAAAAATCGTGTTTTATTTATTTTATATTTTTATTTATTTTTATGTCATTAACTATTTTGGGCTATCGGTATTAATTACGCTTTATGGATTGAGAAAATAAAAGTAGATCTTAAGGAGCTATTGCGTGTTTATCAGTGGGATATTACTTATACAGGGGGTGGCGTAAATAGTGGTCCACCATTAAGGATTCGATTAACCAGATAATTTACTATAACATATCACAATTTTATCCATTTTTACCCAAATGTGTACCTCTTGTTACAAATTTGGTTGTAGTTTTAACAAATACCATTATTTTTTCATTTTGATAACTGGTAATTACTGCTGAATACTAGAGCTATCGTTAAATAACATGTTTTTAATGTAAATTTAAAGCTTTTGAAGAAAAAAAATGGTTTCACTCTACTTTTAACCCAAATTTTTAACATATCATGCTAATTCAAGACCGATTTTTGTAAAAAAAAATGTACTAAGCTGTCAGTGCCCATTCATTTAAAAATATTCCTACTAAATACCAATTTCAAAATGGTATCACAATAGCAGATCCTTTTGTTTAACAAAAAGATATCCAATTTTAATTGAAGAAAAGAAGATTTTTATTAAAATACATTTCAAAATGTAGTTGCGATAATACTTATGATTTTTGTAAAAAAAGTAACTACACTGTCAGTGCCAATCCATTTTAAAATATTCCTACTAAACACAGATTATAGGATAGGATTAAAAATACACAAAGCCGATAGCTATTATTAGTAAACAAATGTTCTCGGAATTATTGTAAGCGTTGGGCAAGAGTGATGACCAATAGTTGTTATAGTATTGCTCCAATTAAATCGTAAATGTAGTTACATATATTTCTTTAGATATTTGATTAGTAATTTATTAAAAAAATACTCATATAGAATAGTGTTGCAAACACCATAATAAGTATAGGGTGAACCATATAATAATTATGGTATTGCCATTTTTATAAGTATTTTTTTATATTTTTTTTGTTGTTCCAATATAATTTCATAAACGAATACGTGATCAAATGGCCTAAGAATTTTTTTTCTAAAATAGCAAACTTTGTACATTTTTTCTATATTATTATTTTTTAACAATCTAGAAATAAAGACTATACGGTATAAATTGATTATTTTTATTAAAATATTATTTATGTATATGAAAAAAAGTTATTTATCTCTAAATAAAAATAAATACGAACGGTAATCGCAAAAGTAATGGGAAGTGTAAGTTGGTTTTAATACACCGAGCGCGTTGATGTCTTCCTTACTATTTAATGTAACTAATAAAATCTATAACAATGAGTGAAATCTGAATGAGTTCCTCTCAAATATGTATTAAATTCATTATTACCAATTAAAAAATATTGTTACAGTTAAAAATACTGAATATTTTTCATTAAAAATGTTCGAAAAAGTTATAACTGTTATCAATGTTGTACGTTTCAGTCCTATGCAAAATACGATTTCAACTACGCAGTCTCCGACCCGCACACTGGTGATCATAAGTCTCAGTGGGAGACACGAGAAGGAGATGTTGTTAAAGGTAACTATTAACTCATATCTATAACAAGAAAGTATTATAATAGGAACTTAAATATATTATACTAAAAGCTTGGGACTACATGAAATAAATTTTCATGCCATCCAGAAAATTTTCAAATCGTTGAAAATTGAAACACGAAATACATACACCTATTTCATTTATATTTTTACTCAATTTAGAAGCACTTCCACTTTCCACAAGACTGTCATCTTGTGCAAAGTGGAAGTGCTTCTTGTTGTCTTGTTACATAACGCTACCCGTTCCCTACAGTTTTATCTGCCTTTTTGCACCATTGTTAAGTGTAGATCGTAGTATGATGTTACTAAGCTTATATAGTTCTCAATTATCTAAACAAACAGACTCTCGTGGTTCATCTCGTAGACCCCAGCTCGTTGTGACTTCCGTCGTGTTCCGCTCCACCTGTCACTACAGGCAGGTCACGGGGTTGGGCCTGGGTGGTCCTGTTGGTAGTTCCGGGGGTTTAGTTGTTAGTTAGTAAAACCCCGGAACAAAAACTGCAAAAACTACTTCATTTTTATGACTCTTACACCATCTGGCGTGTGGTATTGGTACTAAATCACTAATACTTTTTCTCACGTAATCACGCTTTTACAGAAGTTAAAAATCACATTGCAGTTTTTTTAACTACTGTCCAACACCAGAACCATAATTTTTTAAATCATATATTTTTATAATCCAACGTCATAAAATGTATATATATATTCAATATCTAAGCTAATTTTTGCAATAAATTTATTATAACATCAAATCTCATAATTTCCGTTTTCTATTTCTTATAATTTAATTAATAAATTGAATATTTTTTCCAGGTGCATATTCCCTTCTCGAGCCAGATGGCACCACCCGACTTGTCGAATACACTGCTGACAAGTACGGTTTCCATCCCGTGGTCAAGCGTATCGGAGTAGCCAAACATCCGCAGCCATACTACAAGCCTCACGGCTATTCTGGTTTTAACTTACACCACTAGATGGCGTCGTTGTAAAACTGACCGGCAGATGACGCTTTATTTATTATATGATGAGGAACCAGTATCAGACTGTGATATTAACTTGGATCCATTAATTTATATTTTTTATTTTCTATGTGCCCCTTAGAATAATATCTAAGTTATTTTGATTGTAAACGTTTTATAAAGTCCTTACCGAATGGATAACAGAAATCTGGATTGCAATGTGTACATGTGTACTTACCACAAATGCTAATTTTGAACAGTTACCATGATACTGTCATAGAGATTATTGTTTAGTGACTCATTTTTATAATTAAGAAATACAGTTGATTACATTAAATAAAAATGTAATAGCTTGTAAAAAAATAACTTTAATTTTATACTACGATGTGCAAATACAAAAAAGGAATACAAAAATTCTGTTTTTTTTTTCTAGCTTGTAATACTGCTATAACTGGTATAGAGTTTTTTTTCATTATAAACATAATGGAAAGTGTAGGCCACTTTTACAACACAAATTCATCATCGTTATTCAAGGAGTTGAAGCATGAAATGCTACTCAACGGTTATTAATAACTATTGCTGGGACATTTACATTGAAGCAATGTACAAAGTAAAAGTAGGAATAATAATTATACCTACAAAAAGTATCTTATCAGACTTAATATTTTACAAAACATTTAAGTTTTGAAAAATAATAAAATACCCTTTTGTATCAACATTAAAGATTCAATCGCATCGCGTCATGATGTAAACAACAATGTTGAATTAGTGTCAACAACATTGAATTAGTGTCACTGTCACTTTGAAATTTTCTGCTTCTTTGTGAGTGTAGAATCTACCTCGGGCCATCAGACTACTGGGGTTTGTAGTGCGATGACTTGTCGAAAACGAATCCAGTAAAACATCACTCATAGGCAAATAGTTTTTGCGCTCTATTTGGAAAACGTTTTTTTTTGCACCTATTTTTGTAATTCTTCTACATTATCATTAATTTTTACCGTATGTTTGACAACGTCGGTCGAAATTCTTAATCCAAAACACAAAGCTTTGTTTTCAACCTCTAGGCGACCGCTTTTAACATTATTACTTTAACTGCGAATATTGTAATTAGGATTGTATTTGAAAATCTTCATCAGTGTCATCATCCAGCTGAAAATGGCTTATCATTTTCTTCATTTATATACTCGGCTTATCATTTCATACGATAAGTGCAATAAACTTCATAACTGGAAATTACTTGTAATTATTACTGAATAATTGAACAATAATGGTATCGTTAATTTGCGCTTCAGTGCGCCATATAATCCTATCGGATATTATATTCTAACCTGTCAAAGATTTAAAACGTTGACCAATAATTTACTTTCTTTCAACCATTGTACTCGTATAAGTAACAATGATAGATGTGTGCGATAAATGTCGGTTCTTTAAAACCACTTTACTTTTACCTACCATTTATGTTATTAATCTTCATAATAGATTATACCTTTGTAAGACTGATTATCGGCTACACGATCATTTTTTTTGTATTGTCGGTGCGTTCCGGCAAGTGATATCAAGGAAACAGTGTTACTACCACTACGATGTCAGTGTCCTTTTTTTCCGGGTGGAAGTCTCAATCAAAATTATGACAGCAAATTTGTTTAAGAATTAAAAGATAAATAAATTCTACAATCTACTAATCTTTGTGTAACTTGGGAGTTGTCCTAATTTTATTGAGGCCCTAATTAACTTATTTACCACAGAAATTAAATACCATTTTTTGTTTACTGCTGTGTACCCGCAGTCTTCTTGAAGCCTGTGTAAGGTTATTTATCCTATTATGAATATTTACCATAGCGTAATCAATCATCAACAGCCGGTTCTGTGCAGCAGGCATCCAACAGTTTCCAGCAACCTTCAGCAGGTCGTCGGAGCACCTTGTCGGGAGCCTACATACGCTCTCTTCCGGGAAGTCGAAGCCAACCGAGAACTTTTTGGCCCCATCAGGCATTATTACGGCGAATCGGTTGTTGTGGCAAAATTTGAGGGAGGCCTATTTCCAGCAGTGGACGTCTTTCGGCAGAGAAGAAGAAGAATCAATCATCATTTTTAAACGTTTATTTCTACTGATATTATTAATGTTTACCGCTTATATTTATAATATGGCTTATTGCACAAACACATGTTACTAATTTTTTATTACACGTCTAAACTCCAGTTCATAATAGAGTGTATTTTTCAACAATAGATGGCGCTACTCGTTCTGATTTGTGTTTTATATTCGTAGTGTACATTGTTACAAAATTACCAGGAAATGAAAATGCTTACGTAATTTATTATATCTATTCTATATTTATCAAAAGAAAAACGTAAAAAAATATGATTCTGTTTATTGCTTGTAGCATAGCATATCAACGCTTGCAAAATCGGAGACCATTATGCCTTTCAGTAACTATTTAACCCAGGTGGGATCTAAACTTAATTATAAATGAATCATTATTAAAATCAAAGTATTGTCCGACTTTGCACTGGATATCCAGCTACGCCAAAGCCTCTCTTAACGTTTATTTTTTCACAATAGGTCATGAAAACACGCCACTTGAATACAACAATATCTTTGGACCCTAAAGTATATTGCTCTAATTACCTTACCAAGAGATATGACGTAAAAGTGCGTACTTTCATCCTCAGATCGCAGTCAAGGTCTCCAATGACACTGACCATTCAAAGTCGTTATGTGATTACAAAATTTACAGCCAATAACTGTAGGTAAATTAAAATTGCTAATTAAAAAAAACTGATAATTAAAAAAAACTGGTAATAACTGCGGCGCCATTATATCTGAAAGTTTACACTTTCCTTAATTTGCATGTTTAGCTATTATGATAATGTCATTTCATTTGGTTTTTATTGCCGACTATGTATTTACAAGACAAGCAGTCTTAATGTTATTATTAATCGTGGCTAGAAGGAGGGTTATGGGTTTCGAGCATATGTAAGGCTAGCTTCACCCCCAGATTCGTTCGCCGATCGATTAGATCGAATGGTGATTTTTATTGATAATAAAAACGTACTATGGTACATGTTATCTGTACTGCATTTCATCTCGAACTGTCCAGCCGCTCTGGCGTGATCGATCAATAAACATCCTCACAAACTTCCGTGTTTATAATATTAATAGGATACATGTTTGAGGATTTTATCATTTTAGGTGACATTTTCAAATAGTTAATTAGTGAAAATGACGAATAGTAAAATATTTCAAGGCGATAAATGGAATAAACATAGTTAAATTCTTTGGACTTTCATTTCCCCTCTCTGAAAATTCAAAACCCTATGCTATCAAATCTAAAAATTCAACTTCACAAATCAGTGTTAACCGAAACCACTAAACTTCTAAAATTTGATGCAAACAAAGCTACATTTTTATCTTGTAACGTAAACTGTAATTATCTCTTCTGAATTTAAAATTACAATTACTTGGAGTCCACACAATGTTGCAGCAAAAATTATCAGATCATTACCAGTAGCTGATTTACAATTCAGCACTATCGCATCCTAGTCAACTAATTGTTTCATTATCATTGTCTGAGTGCGTATAATCGTACAACACTCACGACACTCCGGGGATGTCCCTGTGTGCGTTTATAAATAGGTAAGTGGTGGTGAAATCAACTCGTCTTTCAGTTGCAACCTTGAGATGGGTGGGCTCGTTTTTTTTCATTTTTAAATTTCTAAGTGATCCTGTCCTGATTTAGTGACGTGACTTTTATGTGGTGACAGAACTAGAAATATGGATAAAACTTTTGTGATATTAGTAAGTAATAAATATTTAAAAAAATAGACTGTGAAGCTTGAATAAATAAACAGAGATTTAGGTCGATGTATCGGAAGTGGCAATGTAAAACATCTCAGAGTTATAAAAAGCGAGTTAATGTAATATTCACTTCTCTGTTCAGTAAAATCATATTTTTTTTGTTTTTTTAAAGCGTTTATTGCAACCAAATATATAAGCATTCTAAACTAACTAAAATTAACATATTACTATTCTAGGTCCTTTTGGCAAAATTGTTGGTTATCAATTGTCAAGAAAGGAAATTTATTGACGAGAAAGTGGAGGAAACACCAGACAATGTAAGTAGTTGAGTTGCAGTACGATACCATTATTTAAAATAAAATACTATAGCCTAGATGACTATGGATAATTCAACTGTAAATTTATTTTGTTATTGTTCAGTATACAATGTGTTAACAAATCTACTAATATTATGTGAGGTTAAAGTAAAAAGTTTCACTTTAACTGTTTTTTTTTCAATCAAGCATTTGAGTTTAAATATATGGGGTCTACCAATAAGAACGTCCTGGTTTATTGAATAAAACACATATTTTTTTATGAAAAATGCATCCGACCGATTTATTTGATAGATAATTTTATGGAATTAATGTTTTAAATAATATATCGGCCAACGCGGCTCATGCCAATTTTCGATGACGCGGTGCACCATTTCGGCCGGTATGTCGACTATGGCTCGTCGATTGTTGGTTTCTAGGTCACGAATTGTAGCTAGATTATTGCTGTATACTTAAGATTTAACGTAACCCCAAAGAAACTAGTCTAAAGGTGTTAAATCACACGATCTTGGTGGCCAACTGATCGGTCCATTTCTCGAAATTAACGACTCACCAAACTTGCCACGCAATAATTCCATGTTCACTCGAGTAATGTGAAGTGGTGCACCGTATTAAAATAAAGGTAGTCTGCATCAATATCATAAATTTCCGGAAAGAAATATTCGGTTAACATCGAGTTATAGCGCTCGCCATTCACAGTTTCCTTCGTCACTTTCAAAGAAGTACGGACCAATGATTCCACCGTACCATAAACCGCACCAAACTGTTATTTTTTGTGGATGCAATGGTGATTCATGAACCACACGTAGATTTGACTCACTCCAATAGTGACAATTTTGTTTATTAACAAATCCATTGAGCCAGAAATGGGCCTCATCTGAGAAGATGATTTTACGATGAAAATCGTCATCGGCTTCCATCATTGCCAGTGCATAATCGGCAAATTCACGACGGATACAATGTTTGGATGGCTTCAATTCTAGTGCCAAAATAATTTGGTATGGGTGTAGGGCCAAATCCAACCAGGCAAAATACGCCAGGTGGTCATTGGAGAGAGCCCCAACTCTTGTGAACGGCGTTGAACTGATCGATTTGAATTCGCATCAACACTGGCCTGAACTGATTTCTTTATCTCACAGGCACAGTAGTATCGTGGAGAGTGAATTCACTTTCAAATTTTGTTATTATGCGATTTATAGCGTGCACAGAAGGAGCACTATGACGACCGTTTTTTGCGCGAAGCGCTCTTACTGTAGCGGTAGGAGAACGCGAATTTACGTAATAATTTTGGTCAACTTCTAAGCGTTGGTTTAAAGTGAAACGTGACATGATAAAATGGCAGCCCTTACTGAACACAAAAGTCAAGAGACGTCAAAGATCCATCATCAAACATGGCTGCTATGAGCTGTCAAAGCCAGGTCATCCCCATTGGTGGACCCAGTACCTTAAGAATCTTTAAATTTTTCATCTGTTATCAATTTATTTCTCATTTACAATGAACTTTGACTGCAGGGATAGCGTAGTGGTTTAACCGTATGCCACGCTGATTACTACTACGCTGAGTGTTGTGGGTTCTATCACTACATGGGACGACACTTTGTGTGATCCACAAATTGTCGTTCTGAGTCTGGATATTATCTGTGTCCGTTTCGTGTATGTTTGTAAATTCCCCCGTGTCACAAGAATCTTTTATAGATAAAAATAGATTCTCGGTTATGAAATTCTTCATTCCCTATAACAAACTATTTTAATAATTATTAGTCTAGTCTATCTCGAAACTTAGCGTAGAAAAATTGGATCTACCATTTATAACAGAACTTTTTATATCATAATATTATTTTGCATAACAACGGATAGCATAAACTTCATTTCGCAGAAAATCGTTTGGCAGACACTCTTTTGTCATACATTCAACACTCATAATTTTTTTTAACACTCATAGTCATCTTCATATCCATAATAATTAAAAAACAGAACCATCATATCGCCAAAAATTATGGTCAGAATGGTCTTTGAGCATAAATTTCATATTGATAGTCATTAAAATATAGAACTATCATATCTCAGGAAGTTTACAGTGAATCATCTTTTGGCATACATTTCAAATTTATAATTATTGAAAGACTATCTATCCATCATTTTGTATTTCCTACCATAATAATGAAGCCAGCAAGCATGCAGCATGCAAGTAAGAATGTAGCATGCAGCATATCTGTCACGGCTCCGGCAGTCCCACGCGATCTTAAGATGACTTCAACGTTCACCATCGCAGCTTCGGCTTGCTGGCTAGCTTAGTCGGCCTGCCTCAGCCGCGGCGGCGGGCGTTGAAAACCTGGCATCTCCGCGGCGAACCGGCTAAAAACCGCACGCCGTCTCGGGTACTAGCAGCCGGGAAACCATGTGTACCAAAGAAAGGAAATACTTGGTACCCTGACGTACTTCGTAGATGACCCCTCCTGTGTGGGAACCCCCATGTTCCCTTTGTGCTCCCTGGCCTGCTTCTGCTAGGGTTACAGATGGCCTCACCAGTCACCCCCAGGCTTGCGCTTATGGAGGACGGAGGTCGTTCTGAGACCGCCGGCATCCAAGTCGTCTCCAGTACCTAGCCTACGCATTCTCGCTCTTTACCATGGTAGTAATCATACTACCGAGTGAAAGGACTCCCACTCCGATGGCCACCACGAGGTCACGTCTCACTGGCATTCTGCCAACGTGTGGAGATCCGTGTCAATGGTCCGGCTAATGCAGTGGTGGCACTCAGGCTGGGTTGGGTTAGACACAGGTGATCTCCGAAACAACCTTTCCCGGTGATCACCTGAGTGTTCCGTGACGCCTCTCGAGCCAATCCTCGATCACGGGCCTTACCGCCGCAATAATAGTGCCTGATGGCAATATCACTAATAACATTAATCCAAATAAAATTGTACCAAATAATAGTCGCTCTAAATAAACATTATACTGAACAAAATTATGCGGCATTTTAACTCTGTCAAAGGTAACTATGGTAAATTAATTTTTGCAAGTATGACATTGTAAATCGGACATATAAAAATTCGGCCACACAATAATTTTACTAAATAATTTTTATGCCTTAAAAATATTTGTTTAAAAAAGATGCTACGAATCGTGTTATGCGAAATAAATTCCGGAGCATCAAGATTCTGACAGATAGAGGGAACCCAGAAAAAATAGTAGGAAGCTTTAACAACTTTTACCTTTTACCACAATCAAGGACTGGTTCAAGACCAGATAAATGTACATATTTTCAAGTTAATCAGGCGTTTAGAAGATGGTGATAGTTTCACCTTTGAAAAACTATTTGATAGATAGGAGGCTATTATACAAGCATCTAAAATTATAAGAATGAAAATTTTATAGAAGTCATATAGAGTTTGAGATCTCTGAGGCTGATAATTTACCAAAAAAGTTAAATATTTGAGACTATACCGTGCCAGTTACATGTAATATTTATTACTGTCAAAAAAAATGTTATTAAGTAAAAGAATAATTATTTGCAGCTGTCATAAATTGACAACTGTTGGTCAGTTTAAATTTACAGCTTACACATTTGATGTATAAATTTAATTATATTTTTTTTGAGCTGCTGGAGCCGAACTGTATCAATGAAATTCTAAAATTCATGATCGTAATTTTGTGTTACAAATCGACTTACTAACCATATATGCTTATCACAGACGAAGTTTGCGACATGTCAATGCACACAAATTCTTATTAAAGGTGGTCGCAGAATGTCGAAACAAATGCGACCAACGTAGTCTTGTTCACCCACTTTTCTCAATTTAACGAGACCATTTAATATGTAACACTCTGGCGTTAAAGTTTTAAACAATGTTAAACATACTCGTAACAAGATAAAGATGCTGATTTTATTAGCATGAAAATATCATTACTTAGTTTCAATTGTAAAACAGTGAGCGCGTTAACTACCGTAAACATAATTATATGTAATATAATTATAGCAGTTACTTCAATTATTTTAATATTATCGGTATCGGAGGATTTCGTTAACACCGAGAAAAATTGTAGATTTGTGAATCTTAAAAAAACAAAAAACGACATCTTCAATATTACAACATACATCTTTGCATAATACTAAAAAGCGAAACTTGATACGCTAAACGGAGCGGCAATCAAAGAAAGTGAACGATCCGTCCGTCATTGACATTGAATAACGGTGCACGATGCGCACGCGCGCGTGGCAGGTTCATCTTGAACTTGACGAGGAAATGGCCGTCATTAAGTGATATTTATCTCGCTACTGTTAACAGACAATCTGACTTATAAAAAATGACAGTATGGAAGAATTAATTAATTGCCAATCGTTTTCATATATTGTGTACATAAACTAACAAAAATAGTTTGTTTTCACAATGACAAGAGTTGATGTTTAGTTTGACACTGTGGTCTAGGCTACTAGGAAAATTAATGAAACTCAAAAAAATTATAATCGATATTAAAATCCTTTCAAACCGTAAAAGTTATAACATGCGCTTATTCCTGAATGAAAGTGACTGGTCATATTTCAACTATTGTCACCATTGAATTGTTCGCCATCGTTTAGAATATTACCGGTTTCCAATGTCGCAATATTAGTCTTGATCGAGAGTGATACACAGAGCATGCGTTACGCTTAGCAATTGACGAATAGACTGGCAATAGTAGGCTCACTCTACCTGATTATAATTGTATACCTGCATACCTATTTTATAGAAACGATTAAAACTCGAATCAATAATTCAGAATAATAAACGCAATCGGTTGAACATGCAAACTCTCATAATGGGTAAAATACTAAACTATTGCACGCAAGCTATCACTTCAGACATTCTCTAAGTTTTTTTTAATTATTGTCATTACGATGCAATTATGAATCGAGCAAAAAAATGACGATGCATTAAACAGTGACCGTATTTTTTCTTGCCAGGGAAAATCAAGTTACTCATTCAGCTACGGAGTATCTGATGGGCGCACTGGAGATATTAAAACAGTATGGGAATCCAGAGATGGTGATACTGTAAAAGGTATATTAATCATTAAATTGATTTATAAATTGATTGATCTGTTTGGTTAAAAGAAATAATTTTAGAAAATGGATAGTTCCATAATAAATTATATACCATATGAGTATTAAATAATCATCACATATTGGTTGTTATGCATTTAAAATTAAAGCAATAGTCTTAAACAAACATATTTTTTTTATTATTCATGAAATTTTACCATTTATATATATTAAACTTTAATAAATACAGAACAGAACTTCTCATTCAAAACAAATTCACAAAAGTATTCCTATATCATTAACGAACATTAAAGATTTAATACTACGAAAATCTGTTTGCGTATTATATTTTCGAAGTAATTTTCTAACATAGAAATCAACCCTACATGAGTCGATGTCAGTTCACCCATGCTCATGAATGCTATGCATCAGTAATATTAAATCACATTAGTCAAAATTTGTTTATTTTAAGCTAAGTGACATTTATTACTCTATCAAATTGCAGGTCACTACAGTGTTGTTGAACCAGATGGCTCCACAAGAACAGTGAAATATGCAGCAGGACCGAATACTGGGTTTCAAGCTATAGTCAATACTGAAAATGGAGTACCTTCTGATGAAACTGAAAGAAGTTCTAAAGAAGCAAAGTCTATTTCAAATTATGACAGGTATTATGATTTTCCTGAAGGTTCTGTGGATGTGGATTACTATGAAAAAGAAAAAAGGAAATCAAGAATACCTAATGCATCATCATCAGAATATGGTCAATATTTTAATAAGAAAAGGCTAAAGCACCCATCATATATGGATGATACATTAGATTCGGAACCAAGTGACTACACACACAGTATCACAATAAGACACCCACATGACGATTCTTCAGATATCCAACCACTAAGTCACGTCGGATACACCTTCGATCCGAATTGTAAAACAAAAACTAGAAAAGAAAGTTACGGTAACAGAGATCATTCGTATTCTAACATAGTAGGTTTAGAACTGAATAAGAAATATCCACAAGTGCCTGTAGATTCTTATAGAGACAATTATGATAAATACGCTGAATCCAGCTATGACTACAACAGATACGTGAAACAGTCTGACAATGGACGTTATAGAGGACACAAATACGAGGAATACGATCCACATCCTTCGGGTTCAACAAAATATACATTTCCTGTTGCACCTGACGCACCACCTTACGAAAAGTATTACCCTGATGATTTTCTGTACAGGCCAAACAAGAAAAGGCCTTACAAGTACCGGGAACCTGAGCACCGTTATCCAACTATTGGTGAAAACTTAGAAGATTACGTTTTAGTTCCAAAAAAGAAATTAAGAAAACCCACAACTGTTGAAAACTATGAATATAGAGTCGTTGATGATGAATATGATCGTCCTCATTATGTAAGTAGTTATGACGATGAGTCTCAAGATGACAGATATCATAGTTCAGTACAAGAATCAGGACCCACAGAGGTGATTAAAAAAATAGTCAAAAAACGAAAACCCGTTGTTAACCTTTTAGATATATTTGATATTTAGTTTACGGTATTCGAATACAAATTAGTTAGTGTTAATTTCGATTGAGTATTGTAAATTTAGATTAATATAGACACACTAAATAAGGCTAAGCAACTGTTTAATTTTATTGTTTAAAAGATTGTTAATATCCTACCATTCATTTGAGAAGGGCAGAAATCTAGAACGAAATGCGTTACGTTGTAAACCTGACTTGTGTAAAATATAAATTCATTTCTAGTATATTTTTTATTCATTTAAGACCATCATTTAGATAAGTAGACATTGCCTCTTTGCACTCTTATATTAATATTTTCACCTCCGTATCATTAAAGGTTGTCTGTTTAATAGAAAGTAATAGAATAGAAATATTCTGTACCAAATTATCTGGAAACATGTCCCAAATTGTTAACTAACCCGATACTTACAATTCCTTAGAAATAGTACATAAAAATATTTAGTTTTATTTTAAACCACATATATTACGCATGCGGTATACTAGTTGCGTAAAACGTTCTCACAATGATAGTGAAAGTGCAAAGCCTCGGAAACTGGAGCGAGTGGGAGCGTTGGTATCGCATTACCACACAAGGACATTAAAAGATAATTTTAAAAGTCGTAACAAGCAATATGCCTACGTCCACTTCATTTAACTTGATCCATTTTTTAAATAGGGTCGGGTACTTTTAAATAGGGTACTTAAAAATATTTTGACAGCACGGATGGCGTAGTGGCTTAAGTGGTCACCACTTCCGTTTATCTACACATATGCTCGAAACGCCGCTTTCTACTGTGCTGAGTGTTGTGGGCTCGATCCCCACATGGGACAACACTTTGTGTGATCCACAAATTATTGTTCTGAGTGTGGGTGTTCTTTGTGTTTGTAAAGTCCACCCCGACACATTATAATATATTTCTAATGCGGGAGTTTTATTCTAAAAAAAATAATTAACGCCACCTAGTCGTCCTCTATGCCTTACTCTCTTATATATTCTTAATATATATCTTTATGGTAGTTTTTTATATTAGAATATATAAATGAGAACTATATTGGCTCTATAAATTAATCAATAAATATCTAACGATTATGTATATGTTACATAACATACCACTATGTACACGATCTCTAAAAACTACCTGAAAATAAATATTATATGTAATTGAATAATTCTAACGACTGATGTGAAGCATTAAATTAATCACGTCGATATTTAATACTCTATTGGGTTGTCTATTGTGTAGTGTGCTGCACTAAAACAAGCAAGGAATACGATGATCAAAAATGTATATATATAATATATAAGTTTAATTTTATTGAGAATTATCAGCAGTATAATATGTTATTAATTGTATGCAGGTTTACTCAAAAGACCAATTCTCGTAATAAAATTTCGGTCACAATTCAGTTCCGATCAACTCTCGATCTCACAACTGTCATAAAAGGCATTTTCGTAGTGAAGTATTAAACTAAGTTGACATTAATGTGATTATATATATATTATATCTTATTGTAATCGAAAATAGAAGCGGTAAACTGCTAGTCTTAGGTAACCTTACTATTTTACTACGAAAATACCTTTTTTGATAGTTACAAGATCGAGAGTTGATCGGAACTGAATATTAACTAGAATAGATAGATTATTTCACAATTTAAACCACTTGTCTTAAAGCTTCAAAAGTCTAATGTTGAATGATGTTTTGAATACGCTGCATGATATTTTCTGTTTTGCATATTAGCTAGTAGTCTATACTTATGACTGAACTTGGTCGAGATTTAGAAAAATTCATAATTGCTTATAAGTTGTTAGTTTCCTAGAGATTGTATGCGTGCGATAATTAAAGTTTTAATTTACTATCATATCAAAGAAAAATATTGCTCTAACTAGTACATTAACAAATGCCCTAAAAGTTCTTACTGGGTAATAAATTGCCAAGTATTTTGTAATTATCAAATCGATCCAGTTCCGAAATCGACTACCCAAACCTGAAGGCACGACGAATTTGTTCAGCGTGTGACATTTATATCCCACGATTTACGCGTGTACAATTAAACTGTTACTATTATGCTTTAGTTGTATATGGCGTGGACATTCACCGGTGGCCATGACACCGTCGGCATTGTCGCAATGTGACTGCGACACGCCACACTTGGCGCCGTACCGTAGCGCCGTGTAATATAGTTCATGATCCTAATCAGGAATTGGAGAAAGGGCAAGAGAAATGTTACTTATTGTTCTATATTTACTATATCGTAGAAAATCACTATACTGAACTGGAAATCCGAGAAGCAAAAAATAAAAAAAATCTGACGTTGAATCATAAAATCTTAAGGTGCGCTAACTTTAAATAATATTGAATAAAATATTGTTTTTATTTATTGTTTGACGGCCCTGTTGGACTCTGACTGATAAGCCGGAGGTCATGGCTTCGATTCCCACCCAAACAAATATTGTGGGATATGCACGATCATTTGTCCTGGGTCTGGGTGTAATCTATCTATAAAATGTATGTGTTTAAAAATATATAAGTACGTTTATCAGTCCGATTACCATAGCACAGGCTCTGCCTGGTTTGGGATCAGACTGCCGTGTGTGAGATGTGTAAGGTATATTATACTATTGTGTTTCTAAAATTAAGGACAAAATTGGTGTCAATAGACTTAATGATAATCTAAGCATTCCCTTGATACTATATTAGTCAAATCACATTTCAGAACTTTGGGCGATTTTTGTAAGATGATGTTATAAATATGCACCCATTGATAGGAGTATTATTATATTGGTTAAATTTGAATATTCCGAAACTGAACAAAACAGTAAAATTGGTTTTTAGTGTTCTTTTTAGAGTTTCTTTTTCACTTTGTTGTACGCCTGTCTGTCTGTCTCTCTGGACCCTCGGTCCCCTCGAGTCCGACTCGCACTTGTCCTGATTTTTATTTACGGTATATTTCACGTTATAGTTAGTGATGACCGCCGCTGATGGAAACTTGCTGTTTTTAAATAGCAACACAACACAAAAAATTGCCGCTACTTGAGTGACCTAGAATTAATAATAAATAATATTCCGGACATCTGATACACAACGCCATCTAGTTAAAAACTAAGCAGATCTCGTACTATGAAAGCCAGATTAACTGATAGGATACTTATTTACTTTTTTCCGGTAAATACATACATATCATAAATATAAAACACCCAAACTCCAAAACAAATATTTTTGCAGATCATACAAACATTTGGTCTGAATCCGGTCGTGGTTGTAATACACGTAAATAGAGTACCTTTCGTGTCCAAGCATGACGGTGTAACTACTCTTCTTATTAATACAAAAGCTTCTTGAATAGTATTTAAGTCAAGTGAAGGAGAAACATTGAGCATTACGGTATTTACAACCAGAAATGATCATTCACATAAAAATAAAACTAGGTATATCATACTTCATTGTGTCAAATCCAATTTGAACTTTCAATTATTATGCTTATAATAAATTTCGGACGCTTTTGCCGAATCTTAAAGTCTTACTTCTTAAAATTGCTCTTAATGTGGGTGATTTAAAGCTAAAATTAAAATCTAAAATTGAGTTTAAATAGTTGTTAAATAAGTAATTGCTTGTAAATTTTCATAAAAAATAATAATATACAATAACTGCCTAGATCTCTATAGCACTACATCTTAATTTTTATTAAGCAAATTTATTTAGTACCAACTACAACATTGTAAAGGAAACATGTAGTTACCTAGTTGCAGTTACAAATCTTAACTCAATTAAAAAGTGGTTCTAAATCGATCTTAGCTACCGGGCACATGCAATTTGATCTGAATACATAAATGATATTTCATTAATTTTATACTTTAATATTTTCAAAATTGAAATAAATTATTTAAGTGCGCATATTTTGGCAGAATTAAGTCATAAGTGTTAAACTTATGCGGAAGAAATTGCGGAAGAAAAAACGTTTAAAAATGAAATCTACAAGAAAGTAAACGACTGCTTTCTTGGGTGTCCTTTACCTTTAAGGAGCTGTAAAGGTATAAAATGTATAGCTATCTTTAAATGTAAATGTCTACAAATAAAGTAAATAACGCATATATCTGTTGAGATGCAAAGGACCGTCAAGGAAGTAGATCCTGAGGGTTAAATTTTGACAATTATGAAAGTTAATTATAAATATTCAAAACAAATAACTAGTAATTTATGGTAACACTGATAGATGTAAATATGTACATATTTTAAAATATTATTAAAAGTCATGAGGCATGACAAAAGTTATCAATTAATGTCATGTGAATGTATTTTGATTAATGCAAAATTGACATTGTTTACGTAACAATGTCAATTTTGTATTAATCAAAGTAGTTGTACTCGTAAGTGTACAATACCTAACTATTTTCGAAAATAATATTTAATACCTTCATCCTTTGGTGTCTGATATTAAAGATACAGGTAAATATTACATCAGTAAAATTAAGAAAGGTAACGTGATGAAATATATATTTTTTTACATACAAGCGTTGAAAATTCCTTCATATTGTTAATACATTTTACCTCTTTTAATTTAAAAAATAAAGTTTATTCTCTTTTGCTTCAAAAATAATAAAATTTGTAGTTAATCAATATTAATAATAGAAATTCGTGATAAACGACGCAAATATGTATATTTAGCGTCAAGTATATAGCTGTTTTAAAATGCAAAATATTCATTTTGGCTAGGGTCCCTAGACGTAGCAAAAAAAGATGTATGTCCTTTTATCTGTTTTTTGCTTGTACAATACAATAAGAAGTAAGTACAATAAGAAGTTTCATATATTAGTTAGTTAGTAGTTTTTATTTTTGCTACAGACAGTGAATACGTAGCATTATATCAAAATGCAAAGTTAAAACAGTGGCGTTGTGTTTAAGTATTACTACTTGAAAACTCCACAGAAGGTTAAAAACTCTTAAAAAATGTTTAAAAGGTTTAAGCATCACCAACTTTTTAACTCTCGGTACAAATGGGTTAACTTATATGTTTTTGGAATATTTTT